AATTCATCCCTCAATACGGCCGTTTCCAGTATTGGATTCCGTTCGTGATCAATCAGCTGGGAGGTCTGTTATTCTTTTACTCGCTGAGTCATGTCGAACTGTCTCTGGCGGTACCGCTGACGAACTCCTTGACCTTCGTCTGGACCGCTTTGGTGGAGAGTATTTTTTTCGGCGGCAAAGCCCCCAATCAAGGTGTGAATATTGATACTCTTGCTTTCAAATATGGTACCGTAGTGTTTGTGGTTTTATAACTTTCAAAGTCAGTAAAAACCTGGCAGTACACTAGTAGATACATCAAAGTGTTTGTAGTTCTATGGCTTTCAAAACAGAGCAGATTTGCAGTACACTGGTAGATATGTCAAAGTGTTTGTGGTACCATGACTTTCAGGTTCAATAACAGCTATCCTATCACTAGTGGATATGAACGTCAATACAAGGGTTTTAAATACAAGCTTCATTTCATGCGAATATTCAACAACATCGTATCAAAGTTTTGAATAAATAAAGAAATCGCTTAAATCATCGATGTTTTTATATATAACAGCCACCGTAGCAGGGACTGGATTGGTCGTGCTGGGAGTACTCTGTTGCATCAACAAATGAGCCTCCAGAACTGAAGCTGCCAGCTTGAATTGGGTAATCAAACGAAGGTAGTCTCCGAAGTTATACCCTCATCAAGACTTCCTACGTAAGCGTGTCGAAGCCACTATAGAATTATTAGTCAATTTCCCAGATACGCGTACAGCACGTTCATTATATAGGGGTACAGCCTCTCGATACGAACAAAACTGGCGAATCTTTCCCGCAAAACAATTTGCGATCAACATAGGATGCCGGCGCATGTAGTCTTCATAGTATACAATTCTAGGTATAGCGTTCATGTATCAGACACTTGCATGCACCCTGCCGAATACGCCCTAGTTCATCGTGTGATGAATTGGCAGTAAAATGGCAAAACCCAACTGTCAGCAACTCATCTTCCCGCCGTCAGTTTCTTCACTTAGATGGCCTTAAGCATGTGACTGCGCTCTAGTTGATTTGTGAGTATACCATTCAGACTCGCTCAATAAAAACAGGTGTCACCATGCACCAATACACACGTAACATGTCTGTACGTGGGGAAAAACTAAACCCTACTGTTGCATACCTATCCATCCGCTACCTGTTAATTGTGTATCGGGGACTGGAGTTCCGGTGAGCTTGAACACCCGGAAATAACAAGTCACGCACACGGCACGGAAGCGTGTACGAACTGTTTATGCAGTGCGGTGTCTCCTAGATTCTTCGATATGGCTCCGTATTTACACACTGTTAGATCAGATCAGTGCAAATGCTTCGGCCGTCACCCCATTGACAGTCAAGCATTCATGACATCCTGAAGACATGCAAACGTATTCATACCAGTAACATATCTCGAAAAATAGGTGCCAGGTATAGCCGTATGCACTATCATAGTGATTGTGATCTCCTTATGTTTGTAGCCTGTTTGTGACGCCTCGGGGGGTCACAATACACTCAGACTTGGCGTCGATGTTTACGTACGCATTGCATGGAATTGCAACCATAGGACAGCATTCAGACACAGATACGCTAGTATCGAAACCGCTTTTAGCTCAACCTTGCCACATCGCACGACTGCTTCCACAGATCGCACCTTTGCTTCAGGACAGTGTTTATACCATCCGCAGCTTTTGTGCTAGAGCTAATAATGTACATACACAAATACAAAGCATTACGATGATCTCTTCTCTTCAAGTGCCAATTTCTTGAAGTATAGGTAGTACAGCCCAAGCACAGTTATCACCACACACGCCGCTGTGAGGCTAATTAGTGGGATCGCATCGCTGGGTATCCCCAATACGAGAGACTGAATTACTGTGTGAGGGATAGAAGCCATGTGGCGCATTAGTCCAGGAAGCCTTACGGCCGGAGCATATGCATTCCGTTGTGCCATTTTCAGCAAGACCGGCAAAATATATGCTGCATGAATTGAGTTGTCACAAAGCGGCTGTATTTAAGTCCGTGACAGATTAGGAAGTATGTCTATTCAAACTGAATGACCGATATATAGATGGTCTCACCAGAGCCATAGTCACACACACACCTATATTGAATACGACTGGTCTGCTGTTCAGTTGCTCGTCAATAGGCACACCAGTTAAATTCGTAGTCACCTCGATCAGACACTCAAATGCAGACCCTTTTTGCTAAATGCGATAGCAAATCAACACAAGATGTCGCGTTAGTAAAAAATTTACACAGGATAACAGTGTTTTACAACGGTATTAGCAACAATGTGATGAAGCAGAAAGAACGTGTGCATATTCATACGAGCATTATATTTAGTACAGCCAAAAACTCAAGCGATATGTTGTGGAATATAGTACACGCATTACACAGATTTAGTGTACCAGCCAGCACCAGTATCGCTTACATTAATACATGCGAAGCCGAATAGCCGCTGAGAACTTTATATGACAGCCTCTGATATGCAAGCCTG